AGAAAGAAAGAAAGAAAGAAAGAAAGAAAGAAAGAAAGAAAGAAAGACATCTGAGCAAACCATGGATGGACAGAAGACATGTCTAGTTTAAGGAAAAGAAGGACATAATAGCAGTCTTCCAATATCTCAGGGCTTGCCACAAAGAAGAGATGTAAAAAAGATGTTGAGACTCTGGAAAAAGTGCAGAGAAGAGCAACAAAGAGGATTAAGGGACTAAAACATACAATAAATGGTTGCAGGAACTGGGCCTGGCTAGTCTAGTGAAGAGAAGGACCAGGGGAGACAGGAGAGCATCTTCCAGTATTTGAGGGGCTGCCAAAGAGAGGAGGAGGGGGTCAAGCTATTTTGCAAAGTACCCGAAGGCCAGACAAGGAATAATAGATGGAAATTGATCCAGGAGAGATTCAACCTGGAAATAAGGAGAAACTTTCTGACAGTGAGAAGAATCAACCCATGGAACAGAAGTTGCCCTCGTAAGTTGTGGGAGCTTTATTCCTGGATGTTTTCAAGAAGAGACTGGACTGCCAACTGTCAGAAATGATGTAGGGTCTCCTGCCTGGGTGGGGGGTTGGACTAGATGACCTACAAGGTCCCTTTCAACTCTGTTAGTCTAATCTAATCTAGTGCTAAGTCACTTCTCTGCTTGGTTGGTTTCCATCCATTGTTTCTCGTCTTGCCTATTGGCACTTTGGAGAATAGCTTGACCCTCCCTCGTCTCTGCGGGGTGTCTTTGAGTGATGTCCACCAGGTCATTAAAGGACTTATTGACCATCCCTGGTTTGCATAAAGATGAGAGAAGATGAACAGCCAGATGTGAAAAGCCACTCTTGCTGGCTTCAAGGAGAGCTGGTTAATTAGCATCCTCGCATGGCTTTGAAGATGAAAGTACTCGGTGATAAGTGCTAATTATGGTTAAGGCTGATGGCAAGAGGGCCCTTTCCTTGAATGTTCAATAAAGATGTGCCAGACGCAGAGACTCTTGTCAATAGCTGAATATTCAACTTTGTTTCATTTTTCTCTGGGAGACCATGAGGCTATCCAGCCCAATCCAAAGTTGTGATGACCCGGGGCGTAGCACAAAAATAACAAAGTCACCAAAGTAGATAAATTCCCTTTAATGTCTCCAACTTGGCCCACAACGTCCGATTATCTTCGGCGGGGAGATCAAACTCTTCCAAAAACAGTCCACGAAGGGAAGAAATGCGGTCTGAACCCAAAATACAGATAAAGTAGAAATAAAAAAAAAACCAACACAAACCACGCTGAAGTAATTAACACGACAGACCAGGATAATAACTTGCAGACTTCCAAACGGTAACGAGGCACACGCAGTGTGGAGGATGCCAAAACCCCGGATAAGCCTCGACAAAGATAATGCACGCTTTGCTTCCAGCAACTTTGCCATGCGCAGTTTGCCCTTTTAAACAGTCTTCCCAGCTGCAGCCCATGAAGGGGATCAGGGCCCTTTTCTCCCCCGTAAACCATGTTGCTCCCTATCCATTCCTCCCTGCAGGCCTTAGGATGAAGAGTGGGTGAGCCTGGGTCTTCCTCTGAATGCCCAGCCAGCCTGTGCCCTACCCCAGTTTCCTTCACAGCCACCGGAGCCACACTCCCACCCCCTGTCAGTTGTTCCACCTCTCTCTCAGGATCAGATTCCAACTGGGGCACGACACAAAGGTGTCTGTTGCAGGTTCTGGGCCTGCCCTGCCCTGCCCTGCCCTCCCCTCCCCGGAGTCCCAACGCAGCCCTGGATGCAGTTAAGTGCAGGGTGCGAGCAGAGGCTCAGGGAGGGCGAAAAACGGGCCTCCCGGGAGTTTGGGAAGGCTGGAAATGGGCCCGTTTCCAACTTCCAGAGCCCAGGGAGGCCATTTTCGCCCTCCTGGAGGCTCCCCAAAAGCCTCCAGAGTTTAGGGAGGGCAACCCGCTCCACCATGGAGGCCGACTAGGCCAACCCCACCCAGCAACCAGGCAGAGAACCCCTTGCTAAAGTTTTTGAAGGCCATTCCTGACTAGGAAACATGACCGGCTGTTGTGGAGGAAGCAATAGGCCAGTTGATTGTTATTGTTCTTACTTGCAAGGAGAAGGAGGAGGAGGAGGAGAGGAGGCAGAAGAGGAGGAGGAGGAGGAAGAAGAGGGGAGGAGGAAAGGAGGAGGAGGAAGAGGAAAGGAGGCGGAAGATGAGAAGGAGAAGGAGAGGAGGAGGAGGAGGAACAGGAGGAGGAGAAAAGGAGGAGGAAAGAAAGAGAAGGAGGAGGAAGAGGGGAGGAGGAAAGGAGGCGGAAGAGGAGGAGGAGAAGGAGAAGGAGAGGAGGAGGAGAGGAGGAGGAGGAGGAGGGGACTATGGGGTAATGAATTTGGTTGTTTTCTTGCAGATGTTTCATTACTCAAGCTAGGTAACATCATCAGTGCTGATAACGTTACCACTGATGGCACTGATGATGTTACCTAGATGGGTAGTGAAATGTCTGCAAGAAAACAACCATGCACAGAGAATACCAAGGACCCCACAGTCGTCGTCCTCTTTCCTCCTCCTCCTCCTCCTCCTCCTCCTCCCTTCCCCCTCCCCCCCACCCTCCTCCTGCCAAGTACCATATCCACAAGAACAGTTAACCGGCCCATTGCATCCTTCGCGAGAGCTCCTACAGGTTCTCATCAAGATATATTGCGATGTAGGGAACGGCAGCCTGCCCACAGAAAGATCCAGTGGGAAATAATTTGCTGTACACTCCGTGATGGGGATTATTATTCTTTTTCTTGCAACGGTACGGATCGAAAAGGGGGGAAGAATAAAAGAAAAAAAAAATAGAAAAAGAAAAAAAAAACAGCGAGGGAAAGGAAAGGATTGATTACCGACATCATCTTATTTTTCCAAAAGAATGCCTTCGGAGTAATGGAATCCAGCTACGGCTCCGAGCGGTCAAAGTTGTAAAATATGAAACTCCCGTTCCAAGACAAACTTACTTGCCAGTCAGTATGTTTTCACTTAAAATGGGGGGGCAAAGGTTTGGCTGGGGGTGAAATATAGCCTCCCGGGTGTCCATTTTTTCCTCTCTCGCCGACTCCCTCCCTCGCCCGCCCCCGCCGAAGTTTTCTGTATTTCATAGTGACAGCTCTGATGAAAAGTAACAGCAGGAACAATCAGACTTCACTTTGCGGACTTTCTGACAATTACCAATGATGATGTCGCACGCTCGTAAATCCTGTTCCGTCTCTTCTTAAAAGCCTCCGGTGATGAAGCACGCACAGCGTCTGGTGGCAAGCAGTTCCACGGGTTAATTGTCCTCCCTGTGAGGAAGTTTCTCCTTCATTCCGGGTTGCTTCTTTCCTTGATCAGTTTCTATCCGTTGTTTCTTGCCCTGCCTGCCTTCAGGTGCTTTGGGATATAAAAATTGACGCCCTCCTCTTTCTGGCAGCCCCTCAAAGGCTGGAATACCACTATGACGGATTACAGATTAGCAGAGTTGGAAGGGACCTTGTAGGTCATCTAGTCCAGCCCAACTCCACCCAAGCGGAAGACCCTACACCGTTTCTGACAGGTGGTAGTCCAGTCTCTTCTTGAAGGTCTCAAGTGATGGCGCTCCCACAACTTCCGAGGGCAACTTCTGTTCCATGGGTTGATCGTTCTCACTGTCAGAAAGTTTCTCCTTATTTCCAGGTTGAATCTCTCCTGGTTCAGTTTCCATCCATTATTCCTTCTCTGTCCTTCAGGTGCTTTGGAAAATAGCTTGACACACACACCCCTCCTCTCTGGGGCAGCCCCTCAAATATTGGAAGACCGCTATCCTGCCTCCCCTGATCCTTCTCTTCCCTAGACCAGCCAGGCCCAGTTCCTGGAACCGTTCATTGTATGTTTTAGCCTCCCGTCCCCTAATCATCCTGGTTGCTCTTTTCTGTACTTTTTCTAGAGTCTCAACATCTTTTTTATAGTGTGGTGACCAAAACTGGATGCAGGACTCTAGTTGTGGCCTTACTAAGGCTTTATAGAGTGGTATTAGTACCTCCCTTGATCTCAATTGTATCCCTCTTTTAATGCAACTTAGGATTGCATTGGCCTTTTTGGCTGCTGCTGCACACAACTGGCTCCTATTTAACTGGTTGTCCACTAAGACTCCAAGATCCCTCTCCCAGTTACTGCCATTAAATCTGGTTTCACCCAGTCTATATGTGCACTTCTGGTTTTTCTTACCTAAGTGTTTATGACTTTACTTTTCTCTACATTAGTTCCTTCATTTTCTCCAAGTTTGATTGTTTTCCTGCAGACATTTCATGACCCAACTAGGTAATAGCATCAGTGCTAGTGAGTGTGGGATTTGCTCCCTGTTTATATACAACAGCTTGCCCTATGTCGGTGGGAATGTGTGGTTTTCTCTTTGGTCCTTTCTTGATTAGGGTATTGTTTTCTGCCTGGCTGTTTGTCTGGTATTAATCCCTGTTTATCTGGCTGTTGATTGCTTGGAGGGGATGTATTCTGGTCGCTTTGTTGCCTTCTCAGCTTTCTTTCATTGTCTCCTTTGAATGGCGTGTAAATGTGATCTATCTCTATGTGTCAACCAGCCATCAATCATCAACTGCAATCATCATCTATTCTATTCAGCAATCATCATCTATTCAGCTATCAATAGACCCACAGAGATGTGGATATGGATCACTAGACTCATCAATAGATGTGGACTTTTGGAGAGCGCCAACGATTCCACAAATCCACATGCAAATTATATTTTTCTCAATGGTTTTCAAATCAGCTGCCTACTTCCTAAGAGGCTATGAACACACGAATTCATGAAGAACCAAAGATGGCCAGGTGGCCTTGCTACAACTCGGTAGTAAGTTAGACTCCTGGCCTTGAGTCCTTGATCTGATGATTCCTCTTGGATGAGAGGGAGAAGAAGTCTCAGTAACCTCTTATGTTTGAAGATGACTTCTCTTCTCAAGGCCGTTCATTCCCAAGTCCACCATTCATCTCATAGTGTTTTTTTTTTAATTCTTTTCCCCCACCTGAAGATATTTGATGTCCTTCCCTGGACCAGTTTCTCTGATTTTTTCTTGAAGAACAATGGCCAACTCAGAAAGCTCAAACTGCCCAAGGAGCTGCTGATCCAGTTCTACAGAGGAACTATGGAGTCTGTCATCTGCACTTCTATCACTGTCTGGTTTGGTTCTGCAACCCAGCAGGACAGACACAGACTCCAGAGGATAATTAGGACTGCAGAAAAAACAATGGCTACCAATCTGTCTTCCATGGAGGACCTGTATCCTGCACAAGTCAAAAAGAGGGCTGTGAAAATATTTACAGACCCCTCACATCCCGGACATAATTTGTTTCAACTCCTTCCCTCAAAATGATGCTATAGAGCACTGCACACCAGAACAATTAGACACAAGAACAATTTTTTCCTGAAAGCCATCACTCTGCTAAACAAATAATTTCCTCAACACTGTCCAACTATTTCCAAAGTCTGCACTACTATTACTATTAGTCTTCTCATCACTCCTTATCACCCATCCCCTCCCACTTGTGATTGTAGGACTGTAACTTTGTGGCTTGTATCCTTACAATTTATGTTGATTGTTTCCTAGTATGATTTGATTGCTTATTGTACCCTATGACTATTATTAAGTGTTGTACCTTGTGATTCTTGACTCTTGACGAATGTCTTTTTTCTTTTATGTCCACTGAGAGCATTTGCACCAAGACAAATTCCTTGTGTGTCCAACCACACTTGGCCAATAGAAGAATTCTATTCTATTCTATTCTATTCTATTCTATTCTATTCTATTCTATTCTATTCTCCATTCCATATTCTATTCTATTCTATTCTATTCTAT